CGGGGTGGTGCCTGCTCGAGAGCCGCTCGCTCCCCCCCTCGCCTTTCCGCACCAGGAGGCTGGCACAGAAGATGGAGCCATGGCAGGGCCCTGTGAGGCGAGGCGCCTGGGCCAGCGGGGCTGCTTTGGCACCGCGCGCCTGAGCAGGTAGGCCCACGCGTCCCGCTCATGCTCTGTCAGGCAAAATGTCTTAGGGGAGGGGGAAAAAACCCCCCTCTCTTTCCATCTCAGCATCACCAAGTCCTAAGGTTTCATACCAGCTTCCCACCACTTAACCAGGCTTGCAACCCATACGTCGTTCCACCCAGATGTTGTTCCACCTGAGTCTCTGGTTTTATCTGCTTAAGAATCCCCATCACTGTGACTGGAAATCCCCAAGAATGGCCTAAAAACATTGTCTAGTGCTTTGCTAAAATGGAAATCAAAGCAATCTCACTTTTTTATAAATAATTAAATTTAATTAGGGAAGCTCAGCTGATGAAGTCTGGGCTCATGAGTGGCCTCATCTCTATGTTACAGGGGAAATCTGACTGAAGCTGAGATGTAACAAATTGTTTTACAAAAAATTGTCCTCTGAAATCAGCCCCCCCCCAAAAAAAAAAGAAAAAAAGAGAAAGCCTTCCTTTAAGTCTTAATGCAGCCAGGGGGATTCTGCTATTTATACATATAAACTTACAAAAATACCACCTAAACCACATTTCTGACAGAAATCATGCCAGAGTAACTCATCACAGTAGATGTAATAATCAGAGCAGCAAGGACAATTTGAAGCTTTCCAGGATTATTCACTCCAGGAGGGATACTGAAATTGGAGTACAAAGATTGAATTGTTCCCATAATTGCTAGTATGAATAAGGCAGTAAAAATCGCCAACAGTATATAAAAAAATGCCATTTTACTTAAGCAAGGGTGAGTTGTCTTTATGCCTATCCTTGACTTAGCTTTCTCAGACAAATATAAATCTTTGAGCAGTCCAAGTGACAACACCTTCCCGGTGCCACACATTTCGAAGTCCTTGCAAAGGTGCAAGGTGCCAGCATGCATCACAATGGAGAAGAGTCAGATGAGAATGTGTTTAATTTCCTGTTTAGCTTCATGTTAATTGTGGCACTGATATAGGGCCTGATATTCTGCCTGGTATTCTTAAGTTGCAGACGATAGGAATGACTACTCAGAGATGGCAGTTAGGTACTGAATGGAGTGCTCATTTATGACTGGTTGCTGATTACAAGGAGAGCCAACTAATGTGGAACTTAAATTATCTCTTGCCACATGTATGTAGCCACCTCTTTCTTGCTGTATTGTGGACATGCTTTAGGTAATTTGAAATATATGGTTTTAACAAGGACATTTAGAAAAGAAAATGTGAGCTAACACGAAGGGGGGGGAAGCTAATTAATATATGCTCTACAGAACTAAATGCATCAATCTGATTTTGTTGTTAAGAGTATTTAAACACAGGAACAAGTTTTTCAGCATATTCATGTGTTTGATAAACAGGAGAACACTAAGAACATTTACTCCATTCTAACTTGAACAAAGCTATTAATAGAGCATCTCTTTTGGCAACAGTTGCAGTTTTAAGTTTTTTGAGTCTAGCCCACAGAAATTTTCTGCAAGTTGGTGACTGGGGAATCTTAGTCTCAGATGCTACATGTTGCAGGTACCCAGACACTGTATTACAACACTGAAATATCATTATCCTTCTGCTCTGCCCAAAACACACTTAACCTTGTAGTAAGAATGAAACCATACATCCTAATTGAATAAAATGGGTCAGACCAGATGTTGATTTAAAATTTTACTGCATCTTTAATATTCACTGAGGGAGTAGCAAGTGCCTAGCCCCAATAGTTAATTAAAACAGGCAAACTGCACATGGAATACTTCAAACAGCACTAAAAGAAACTTTCATAGCATTCTTGAAATATCTTTTTAACTGGTCACACTGGTGTAATGGCTTTTTAAGAAACTGCCCTATCTAAACTTTTCACATCAAATTTAGAAGCATAAAAGAATACAGAAAATTTGCACTTCCTAGAGAAGAAAGGAAAATTGTTTCTATAAGCTTTTTAGAAAGCTCACAATATTGTCAAGACCCCTTTTTCCAGATGGAAATGAGAACCAGTCACTATTAAATGAATTTATTATTCCATGGAATCCATCCTCAAGGTGGTACCAGGTCACTCGAACACCGTTGTCCTCCAGTCTCTTCTTGTAAAGCAAGCCATCATCTCTGAGCACATCATACTCACAAGTCAAGATGAAAGACTCAGGCAGCTGGTGAACAACAGCATCTTCAGCCAACAGAGGACACAGGTTGGGCTCGCAGAATCTTTTCACTGTCTCGTAAACTCTACTTGTACAGTCAAGTAACACATGTGGTTTGTAGGCTCGGACCTTAAATTTTTTAGGGATATTATCTGGACTCACCCACTTCTTATAATTTAACTTAATATTTATAGGAATATGGGAACCCTCCAAGACCTCTTGCACATGCAATGCATCCCCATTTAGGTACTGTAACACATAGAAAGCAGCACGTTCTCGGAACAAGAGAGGGACTCTCCGATTCTGCTGATAGGATGGTAAATTGAAGTCCAGTGCCTGAAGGCCTGGGTAGATCAAGATCTGGGCACGTAGTTTGGGGAGGTCTGTTCTGCCTGCCAGGGTCTGGCTAACAGCAGCTGCTAGATTGCCCCCAGCACTGTCCCCACAGACAATGACATTGGCAGGATCCACGCCATAGTGCTCGATGTCCTTCATGAAGTGGATGGTGGCATTGAGACAGTCTTCGTACGCAGCAGGGTAGGTGTGCTCAGGAGCTAAGCGGTACCTGGTGCACAAAAAGAGACAACGAAATATGAGAGGGAAATCCTAGTTTTAAATGTTTTTAAATGTATTGCTGAAAATTGAAACCAGTGCTACCCTGATTACTTCAGAGTTTTCCCTTTCTCCACCATTTGATCATAAATAAGGAGCTAGTTTGACCAGGTGGTGCAGATTAACTTGTTGGCATATCATCTATTTAGGACATTGCTCAGGTCTTTAGCAACACCAGAGTACTCAGGTGCTAAGCCCAAGTTTTATTGAAAGTCCTTTAGTTGTTTTTATTCTTTAGCTTTCCATGGATTGAGTACAAATGACAGTACTTCTGTTTTATGTCTTTGTTACAAAGCAACTATAACCTCATCATTATGCCAGTATACTGTTGATGATACTAGCTTGTCATTCACATAGTGCTTCTGTAAGCATCAAGCAGAGTTTTGTTGAATAGGGATTAAGTAGAATATATGGCTTATTATTACAACCAATTTTGAGTTTGGAATTTGGAAACATAGATTAAAAACTTCGTTTTCCAGCTACATATTCCAAAGCATTGTTTGTGATGTAGTCAGACAGTGAAAACTGCGCCTGAGAGAGTCTCTAGTGGCTCCGAGCAAGAGCAGAGTGAATTTGTAAATCAAGTGGTTGACAAGTCCCACAGGAACACTTCTCTGAGAATGGTTGTTTGCCATGATCAGGGAAGCTATAAGATGATATTTACGCTATAGGAAATAATCTCTAAAAAACCAGCGTGAGAAAAGACTTACCCAACAGATACAACCACTGATTCACTTTCTCTGGCAATAAAGCGGCACAGCTTTTCGTAGGCCTCTAAAAGAAACACATTTGTAGGGTTTGGGTTTTGGTTTGGTTTTGTTTTTTTCAAAACTACTACTGTTGTCCAAGGCATAAGTCAAAGAATTACAAGAAGAAAATACTCTCTCCTTCTCTTTGTCCCTTCCCAAATAGCTCCTCAGGACTTTTTACTGTCTCATGTTCCTATTTCCTGCATTTTCCTCCCTCATTTCTCATTATCCTTGTCTTTAAGAAAAATCACATAATCTACAGCAGATGCTTTATTCTGACAGCAAGACTTAAGAGAGGGCACCAGTGATTATATTTCCTAACTGCTACAGATCAAGGGACAATCCACTTTACCATTTATGAAGTAGATAGTTCTTTAACTAAATTGTAGTATTTTTTCTATTCAATATCTTACCAAGACTTCCAAATACCCATCCTCCTCCGTGGAAAAACATAACTCCTCTCCTTTGGTTGGCAGATGGAGCCTTAGGCTGATAAATCCTTACAGGCACTTCCTCAAACCACATGTCCTGGATGAAGAGCTTTGGGTCCTCTCCTAGAGCCTTTCCCCTTTGCATGTACCGGACAAAGCTGACCTGACTGCAGATGCCAATATTTTCCAAAATCTTTCCCTGTTGAAAGGCAGAGAGAATAGAGAGTTCACTCAAGAAGTGTTGCTTTCCAAAACGAAGGAACTGTATGGGCAGTGTCCTCATCATGTCCAAGTCATATATTTTTAGGGCAATCATAAATTATTTGAGTAGGTACACAGGTATAGCACATAACTGTAAATAAATAACTGCAGCACCATGAGAAGTCACATAAACAGCAGAAGAACATAATCCCAAACTATGCAGCACTAACAAAGACTGGTGAAATATATCCATTTGCTTTCTCAGCGGGTCCTTTACCTAACATTGAAAACAAGTTTGGTTTTCACTGGTAATTTTGCCCTTGCCCCTGAGAAGATGTGAAAACATAGCGAAAGATGATAGTTCTGTTGCTGATTTTCATGATAGGGACACTTGCCTAAAGAGTTGACTAAGCTGAGAATACATTTGGTAATTGCTTTTTGATTAATCTCAGAAGTCTTCACTGACATGTGCAATGCACTGACAAGAAGATCCTGAGATACTTAACCTAAACCTCTGGTGTTTTAAGGCCTAAACTTCTGGTGTTTTCTATGTGCCATAGTGATATTCACGCCAGGCACCAGAAGTTAAAAAAAAATACAAATGAAAGCTACTGGTCTAACATAGCTTTGCAAAAATAATAAGAAAAGAGGCATAACCTTGGTTTTAAATACATCATTTTCTTATGCCAAACCAGTACTTTGGTCCTTACAGAGATTTGGATCAAGCTCTTGGATGAATATGAATATGAATATTTTGTTAGGAATATTTCCTATTAGACTGGCATGTTTGTATCAATTGTCAGCACAGTGTCGTGACAGTCAGAAACACCTTTCTTCAGTGCTATCTATTACATTCTGCATGCCTGATTGTGAGGCTGAATAAACTAATACATTTTGCAACATAATTTAATCTATAGAGACTAGTCTTTAAATAGAGACTAGTCTTCGTGTCTCTGATGGTATACAAACATGAGGAAATGTTTTATTCCTTTGCATTTGCTATTTTCCAAGCATAAATTGAAAGACTGTGACGAATATTTTCACCTTTACTTTCAATTTACATAGTTTTGTTTGTCCTGTGTTGTTTACATTGCACCATACAATCCTGGTTTATGGTACTAATACTAATGTATAGATGATAAGAAGAAAACTGGCTTTTCCAGCTGCTTAAGTCAAGTAATCTCTAATTACAACTTGTATGCAAAGCGTAAGAGTATACGTCTAGAATTCTTTACTGTGGTCCACTATAATCTGGAACCAATTCTGAAACATCCAATTTCCAGTTTTATCTTCAAAATGAATACATAGCTCCTCATCCCCAGTCCAAGAAAATCCTGAAAGCATGACCCAAAGACATGTGATATATTCTGAACCTAGAATAGAAATATAAGTGATCCAACATATATAAATGTTCTTAATTTGATTATTTAGCAAAACTGAGCTCCTTAATAAAACGTGCAGCATGATGGCTCTGCCCTGCTCTCTTCTCCTCAAGCAGAGTTCTAGCATTGCATTAAGTTTAAAATCTACAAGTTCACAATTCTTCCCCCAGAAATTACACCAGGTTAACTTACCACCACAGCTCTGCTTATTAAAATGATATGAATGATTCGAAGCTTTACAGGCTGGTTCACTCCAGGAGGAATTTCTGAGTTGGAGAAATGAAAATTAATTGCCCCCATGACCAACAATATAAATCCAGCAACAAAAACTGCTGAGAATAACACCAGCACTGTGTATAGAGCTGCCATTTTGCTGAGCAGCAAAGTGATCTGAAATGTCTTTGATTTGACTTTCCCAGATATCCTTGGCTTGTTACTTCCTTATTCTTTGTTTGTCAAAACCTTGCTCTAGTAAAAGCCCTTTCTCCTCCCTTTTGCAAGTACATTAGTCAGTATCTTCCCCTCTCCTACTTGCTTTCCCCTCGCTCCCTTTGTTTCACAAAAGGTAAGCTGGTCCAAGTCCTGAATTCATTAAAAGATCTATGCCAGCATAATTTCAGAATTTTTTCCATAAACCAGTCTAGCTGGGAGAAGACTGTTATAAATAAACTGCATTAATATTAAATGAACTAGAAGTGGCAAATAGAAATGGGGCATCTTTGGACTTTGAGTCTGTGATACTATCAACTCAAGGAAGAGTTTCTCTTGGGTTATGCAGAGATAGGAGCCTGCAGATGATGATTGTCACTCTAAAGGGCCAAAGGGATTGTACCAATGTTTTTTTGTAAGGGTGTACCTATAAAGTTATATCATTACCTCAATCTTTTTTTAGTATTTGTATTTTCTTCTAAAAGAAAAACATTATTAAAAAACAACACAGGAGATTGAGTTTACAGTCATGGTCAGGTTACCTTGTATCAGATAAACTTCAGTACCTCTCAGTGTGCAGCAGGTACAGCATAAAATGACCTAAGGTGATCAGCAATTAAGGAGTTTCAAATCAAGCTGCTTTATCTTGTGCTTGCTGTAGAATGGGATTGTGGTAATGCAGAGATGCTGTAACTTAAATGATGCTTGGGCTATTAATTGTGAATCAGAGTCAGCAACTCTTTGAACAGCTGGGGTGTCAGAACATTGTTGAAATTGCAAATTCCCAAGGAAGTGAAAGAAATTAAATCTGCCTTTATTAAGCAGCCAAGTTATAATTTTTAGGTTAAATTGTAAGTACTGGGGGCTGAGGGGAAAATACCATGTCATTTTAGCTAGAAAACTTTATAAAAAATGGAATTTCTTAAGTTTTCCTGTGTGAAGTTTGGTGTTTTTTAAAGGGCATATGGTAATTGTAAAGAATTCTGAAGCAGAAAGAAGTGTTTTGTTTAAAAACAGCAAAAATCTAGATTAAAAAAAACCAACAAGCCCATCCAGTGGTGTTTCTGGACTTTCAGGGGGTTTTTTAAATTATGTTTCCACAGTCATCTGATCATATATGATGGTCTTGGATAGTCCAGTTGTCTGGTAAATAAATTACTGTGCACAGCACAGTTTTAACTAGGATTAGGAAGATGGTGCTCACTGCCAGTGTTGCATTGCTCTTTTCACCTGATGTGTTCATTTAGGTTTATCAGTGAGTGTGTGGTTAGCAAAGGTACCTTCCTCTTGTGACAGAAATACTGGAAGTGCTAGGTTTTATATTTTTTTATTGAAAGCATCACAAAGTTGCCACAACATTACAGTAATAATATAACGGTGTGCATCTCTACCCTTCAGAACTTTTTCAGCAAACACAGTATAACAGGTAGTCTTGAGCATGAGATAATCTTGAAAGAAAAACAGGGAGTGCAAAAAGGAAAAGAAGTCTCACTTCTGCACTTCCCAACAGGTACATGCTCATTTACATTTAGGAATTCCAGTCAAGTTCCAAGTTAAAACATCATTCTCAGATTCCAAACAAAATCAAACCCATACTAATTTCAGTTTAGAGCTTCTGCTTCAGATAGAAGCCCTTCCTTTGACTACAGTTTTTCATGAAAAGTCTAAGTCTGTGTGCAAGCAAACCCTAGAAATTAAAATGCATCGCTGCAATTTCACTATCTGACATAAGACTTCACAGAACCTGAGTCATTGGGTTCTCCATCTGGTACCTTAAGTATCTCCTGCCTCTCACAGGGGCCAAAATAGACCCCAGTTTTAGTCTTCAGCAGTTCTGGGCAGTGAAAAAATATTCAGGAAGAGATGTTCTTGCTGCTTGCCTGGTATGTGGGCCAGGTGTGCAGAGGTACCAGGATTGCAGGAGTTGAAGTGAAACAGTCTGTGCCAGCTGCCTCACTTTAGCATCTCCATCTCATTGGTGTGCTTTTATAAGGTGGTGCTTTAAACTATCTTGTTTGAGAGTCACTGCAGAAACAGAAATTAGAAAGTGCAAAATGCAGTCAAAACCCAAAACAAAAATTAAAAGTGTTTACATTCTTTGCCAAGCATAAATTTGACAGGGATTATGTAAGACTTGCATATTTTTTCTGAACGATATTTTTATAAACTGTTTATATATTTCACAGTGTTATCCATTATCTTTTTTGCAGATCTAAAGGAAAAAATCCCATAGCCAAAAAGGGCTAAAATTCCATGGAAACCACTCTCAGAATGATACCAGGTTACTTGAACACCATTGTCTTCTAATCGCTTCTTGTATAACAGGCCATCATCCCTGAGCACATCAAACTCACAAGTCACAATGTAGGATTCAGGCAGCTGGCCAATGATGGAGTCTTCAACTGTGAGTGGGGAAAATGTTTCTGTTAGAATTTCTTTGATTGCTTCATGGACTTCAGGTTTATAGCAAATGGATTTCTGTGGTACGTAGCCTCTGATCTTAAATTCGTCAGGAATTATGTCAGCACTTATCCACTTTTTATACTTCCACTTCATGTTCTCAGGAACGTGGCAGTTTTGTATGATATCTTCCACAATCGATGGGTCTTTGTTGAGGTAACGACAACAGAAGTAGACAACTAGCTTCTGAACCAATATGGGGACTAAAGCATTCTGCTGATAGGAAGGCAACTGAAAATCTAGGCCCTGTAGTCCTGGGTAAAGTAAGACCTGAGCACGTACTTTTGGGAGATCTCTTCTATTCAGCAGG